TCCCTCCCAAACAAGCTCAAAATTTGAAAAGTCCTCCAAATAATGTATCTTTTAGGATCCCCAACATTTTTCTTCGATTGAGAGAACTCAATTCCAACAAGATAACTACAACTTTGCAGCCAAGGTGTAGAACATTGGTGGCTCGAATGTGCTCCAACAAGGACTATATTGAAAACATTACATTCATTTAAGTGTGGTGGTCAGTCAAATAAATTATTTTCAAGTGACTTATCCAAAGACTTTTTCTTTACATATTTCAAAAATCTTGCCAAACTAACACGTAAAAATTCATAAAGATCCCTTTGAAAGCATTGATGGCTAAAATTTGCATCAAAAGCAAACTCATAACTTTCGTTATTCAAATAAATTTTGCATTTTATCTCAACATGAAAATTAGGAAAAGGGACAATAGAGGTTAGAGCTATAAGAATAGGGAGGTAATTAGTAAGCAAAAACAAAATGTTGATAGGAAATGTAAATAATTGAACAATGGCCTTGGGAATAACGTGGCAATGCGAGGAGTATCATTCAGTTGAGATAACGCCATAACAAAGTCGATGTTAAAGTCACTCAATGGAGTTAGGAGATAACTCAAGTTCAACCACACATTTCATCAACTTCTATCAAAATCTACTAAAAATCTTATTTTTAACTAAACCAAATAGGGGCTAAATATAAATGTTCATACCTATGTTGTATACAATAGTGACAACACAGTCCAACATAATGAAAGTCAACATGTTACATCATTCTCTAGACCAAATTTTATCCAGTGTAAAGGGAAAGAAAGGTGAAACTACAGAGGACAAAATGATAATCCTGGATGCTAAAAGAAGTTATTAAGCAGAATCCCATTGTTCAAACGGGTCAAGGGTTAGTATTTCTGAACAAAACTGAATTAGCAGAGATTAACTCATCTGTTGTACAAGAACATAAACAACCTTAAGCTTCACCCAAATATTTTCTTCGAGACATGAATTGTTAATAGGTTTTGGAGAGCATAATTATAAATGAACAAAGTGCACTGAAAAACCTAGGAATCTTGGGAACAAAGCATGCAAGCATCATGTGCATTTCATTTAAGCAATGTGAATACTGATTCTAATTAAAATTTTCCATGCATGTATAATATATTAGAAATATGCAGAGTTCTGCAATTTCAAGTAATTTAAACAATAACATGTCAGATTTACCAAAATTTGAGCAAAATCAGCACTGCACTAATTTTGGATTAGGATAACATTTGATCATCCATAAATCTTTAAAAAAATAATAAAATAATAATAATAAAAAAATAGTAGTTCTTGTTAAAAATGGCCAAATCAGTCCAAAATATTGATAAAGCTGCTTGTTTTAGAGATCGTTCTTTTTTTTAATCACCTTGAGCATTTTTTCACTTCAACACCTTAAAAGTGGCAGCCAGCAAGGACACACCTTGCTGCATTTTGCACTAAATCCCTTTTATCAACTCTGCTGGAGATTCAATCCAATATTGACTTTGTAAAAATTAGAATCGTGAAATTTGCTACATGATAATTTAATTTAGAAAAGAGGTTGCTGCCTGAAATTCAACATTTAGGGGGATAATCAAAAATTTGCAGAATGTCAAAATATTGTTGATTACCTCAAGAAGTCGAAGGGTCACTACATGAGGCCTTAAGCTAAAATAGTCGGTGACATTCTGTGGGTCATAGATTTCAGGTAGTGGCTTCGTCCACATCTTGGCAAGATAGTATAAGTAGCTAGCATACACCTCCAAGGCTTTGAGATCAGCCAAAAACAAATCAATGCCAGATAGTGCTGTCAAAAGAAGAGAAAAGAAAACAGGTCCGGTTCAGATATCGGTTTGTTGAAGATAAGATATAAATCATATACATGTAGCCTCTCAAATAGTCTAATCTTTTAAATCAAGTGGTTCAACAAGGTACTAGAGCAAGTAAATGGCCTTACCTCCACCTATTTGACAAAATTGTGAACGCGTTAGGCTTTGTAGGGAAGAAATGAATCCCACATACACGTGAGGGGGCGTGCTGAAAATAAGATTTAGCCCAATGTTTGGTTTAGATAAAAAAAAATTAGTTTTTTAGTAGATTTTAATAAAAGTTCATGGAATATGTGGTTGAAAAGTTGTGGATCCCATTAAATGTGTGGTTAAAATTAATTGTTGACTTTAACTTTGATTTTAATCAACTTTTTAAGCTGAACCAAATATGGACTTAAATGATACACCCACATTAGCCCTCTCTAATAGCTTATGCTTCTAGATCAAGTGATCTAACAAAATTGACTGTAGAAGAAGGCATATTCTACATGATCCTTTAGTTCCTGTTTGTCTACCTTTATTCCAAAAAATTGTTTGCTACAGTAAGATTCTCCACCACACATTCACCCAATAAAATATTCTACACACAAACTAATAAAGTTACTTTAAATTTCAACCACACATTCTTCAAAAATACTATTCATTACTCTATTTTTCTCCCAATAATGGGAGACAAACATACCCTTAGAAAGGTCCACATTCCAAAACCAGTATAGAAGTACAAGCATTTTAGACATAAAGAATGAGCACACAAAAGGATGCATAAAATTTCACATTTTTTCACCCATTCAGCCAATTACAATAGTTGATTTCCCAAAGCCATTAAGGACCTGCTTGGGAGTATTTTCCACCTGTTTTGACCCTTTTTTGGGTGGCACCTTTATAAGAGGTTGGAAAAATTGGAACTTGCTAGTTATATAGACTACTTGTTTTTTGTGGTTTAAAAATTACCCAAAATTCACTTGTGTGTAAAAAAATTATTTATAAGTCCAAAATTATCTTATAACTGTAAAATTTATTTATAAGTGAAAATTACTTATAACTTAAAACTTTAATTATAAGTAAATACTTCACTTATTTAGTTAAAAATTAACTTATATGTAAAAAAAGTACTTATAAGTTGTAAGTAAAATATCACTTAAGAGTAAAAAAAAATCATGCACGAAATTATAAATTGAAAATTTCATTAACAGGCACATGTTTAATTTTATTCCTTCAAAATAATCTCATAACCGCTGAATAATAAACTCCCAAGCATTGTTGGATTATTTTCAAAAAATCGCTACTAAAGACCACCCAAAACTAGACTGCTCATAAACGCCCAAAACCGATACATTAAACAAACCCGTAACCTGTACCCCCCCTAAGAATCTAAATTTGAAACTAAATAACCAATTAATTGTACCATGTTTAATGCTTTCCAAGCGGTCTCAGAATTTCACGGATCGTTGTTCCCAATAATGATATTGCTCTTCTTTTAAAACAAATTTTTACTAGTCTTACACACAGAAGCAGTTCTATCAATATATTACATTGACAGGCAATTTATATATCTATATGACAAGTTCCTAGCATATGCTTTCCACTCAAGTTTGGAAGAAAATAATTATTTGATAAACAAATATAGAATCTCAACATAACTACTTCTTCTCTTTTTTTGCATTCATATCCCTTTGACACAGAAGGCAGGCTTGTTCACTTTTTTTTTTTTAGCTGAAGTTTCGGTCCAGATAAAGAATAGGTGTAAATCTTTTATTCCGCGTATGAAAAATACAAGCGAGCATTAGTTTCACCAATAATTTAAAAGCAGATATATCGTCAGAACAATATTAAGTCCATGCAGAAACAGTATTTGTGCATCTAAAGTTCCCATAATGCTTTTTTCAGAACATTGAAGCCAAATTTCTACAAGACGGGATAATGTAGATAGATCATTTCTTTTATGGGTACATGCTACTGGGACTATGCCGTTGCAGTCTTCCTGTTTCCATAAATGAAATCTTATTTAGTCAAACCAAAAATTAAGGGGAAACTGCCGGGTTATCACTAGTAGGAAAAAAAAATTCTCTTACCTTACGATGTGTCTTAATTTAATGCCATTTAAAAATTCAGTCTTCAACATATCTTAATGAAATTCGATGAATAATTAATTTCTTCTTGTTGTCTTTTGTTTCCTCTTGGAGGCATTTCTAAACATTATTGAACCATAATAATTATTTATTACTCAATTCAATAAAGTATTCGTGATATATTGCATCAGTAGTGAAAGATAAAGCATAGCTTAATAAATCATACGTTCTTTTAGTGGACTAATAGCTCGCAATACACTCTACACATTTTCTCAACAATTTTATTGCATCATGATGAAATATTTGACCAGCATATCATTCAAAATCACTTAAACTTTGATTTTCTAAAAAGAAGACACAAAGATTAACTTAAAAAGCTAATTGTATTTCTTATTTCATCTTAGCTTTCTTTATAAGTTTTCACATCATAACTTCTATCTCAACTGAGAATCTATATTATACTTCTCATGAGTCGATGAATCTTCAATATTACTCAATAAATAATGACTACTCTAATTATCTACGAGTTTCTAGCACCTACCGACCAAAAAAAGTTCCTCTCTATAATTAGTGGGTGTTTGGCCCCCATTTTTTAGGAAGAATTAGTTTTTGAATGGTGATTGATGGGAGAATGTGTGGTAAAAAAGTGATGAAAAGTTTTAGATTTGTGTGTAATGTTATTTTATTTGGAGAATGTGTGATTGAAAATGAGTACTGTAGAAAAATGAATGGGAAAAAAGGAGAAAGAATGGGGCTCAAACATGGGCTTAATGTTAAAAAAATTACTTCCAGAACCAAACGAACTTCTGTGTAAAAACATGCACATCTGGATCATGGAAATGAAGTTGGTTCATAAAAGTTCTACTATATCATCTATTAGAAATCATTAATTTAAAGTGAAGTTATCGAGTAAACAAGAATCAACTACAAACTTGCTATCCCGGTATCCCTTTAGATTTAATAAATATAAGCAAGAAACCACAAATACAGTGCATCTAGCCTGAGTAGGCTCCAACAATAACAGCACAACAAATCAAAATTACAGCAACCAACCTCTGTACTAATTCTCTATCATCATCAACTCTAGTACACATATCCGGATTTGAAATATATACACTACTGATGCAGACCAGAAGGGAAAGAAATGCATTTAATACCGCACGCACATGCTAAAATTTTATCCAGTCCTAGTTCAAGCATAAATAAATTCAATTGAGAAATATATTCTTTATATAGCCACTCCAGAGAAATTCATTCGAACCAAAATTCGATAGACATATGAGTCCAATTAATCAACTAATCAAAAATAAGTAAAATAACGACTTGAAAAACAGAAGGTACTTCTACCTACCTGGATAATAAGGCTGAGGCCAAGAGGGAAACTGGAGAAACGAAGCTTGTGGGTCCTCCACATTTCGCAGCCACACCAAGTCCTCGATCGATTTAGTGAACTGCGGAATGCGAAACGCTTTATTGGCCCATTGCAAGCCCTTGTTTATCCCAGTTCTTAAAAATAGAACATCCTTTTGTACAACCTCCACTATGTTTTCCACCGGACCGCCATTGTTGCTCTGCTTCCCAGCACTAGTATTGTTTTTGTTAATATTATTTTGATGGGTTTTCCTAAATCTTGGACTGGTTTGCACGGAGCAAAGAACAGGCATCAATGATGATGCTGATGCCATTGTCAAGGGCATTTCCGAAGGTTCAGATAGTAGTCTGCTATGGGATTGATTTATGGAGTGAAATATTGAACAGTGGTCATTAAGAGCTCATATAGCGTGAGCAAATCTTCACCTAGAATGCGGACGTGTGTGGGCGTTCACCGCCGCTGTGTTTTATGTTTGTGGCTCTGGTTTGGTGTAGGCTGGCGCGTACTGTGTACCAGTGGAGATTTCGATTTTTCCTTTAAGCCGGTAGAAGAAACTATTTGAGCGCTTGTTCGAGCCAAGAGGAAATTGCAAGAATTATCGCGCTACACGCACGGTTCTTGACAACCACTGGTTACAATCTGACGTGGAAATAACAAATTAATAAGAAAAACAAATAGGAAATGCAACATGTACAACACATGGGTTACAACCTCTCACAAGGGAGGTGGACCCCGCGATTAAAATAATAGTGGGTCCCACCTCCCTTGTGAGAGGTTGTAACCCAATATTATAACCCAACATTGTACAGTGATCATTATTCAAAAATAAATAAAAAATAGAAAGATAACATTGTAATCGCGTTGAGCAGTGCTATGTAGCCCCACTGGGGTTACAACCACAGTTTAGATAGCTCTAAATGATAGGCTACATGAAATGTGAAATTCAATGACTTATTTAATTTCACCTATCATTTAATGTCACGACACCTAAACTGGGGTTGTAACCCTAGTGGGGCTATATAGCATTACTCTATCGCGTTAGTCCCCATTTTCCCCAATTCAAAACCCTACAACGTCCGTCCTCATTTCTGCCACAAACTGCACCTCGACAGTGCAAAATCTTCACTCCCGTTGTGTACCTACCGTCAGTTCCAGCCGATGCCCTAATTTCGACTATCTCTCCACAGCACCATCAAAGAGCAACGAAGCCATTATCGTATACGCTCCTTGGACCACCGTGAAATCAACAACAAAGTCCCCATTCTCCATCAAGTATTCATTTCTTCGCTTTGGTTTAGAGTAAGCATTTCTAAGTTATATTCGTGATGCATTTCTGGGTTATTTTTGTTTCTTTACATTGGACATGCTTTGTGCTTCGTCCTTTATGCAATCGAAAAATTAAAATGACGTTTAAACATTGAAATTGATATTGGGCTTTTTTGTGTTTGATTCAGCAAATTGGAATGCCGAGAAAGAACTCTAGGGTTTACCACAATTGCAGGAGCGTGGGACACTTCTTCGGCGATTGCCCGATAAAATGTCGATGCCCACATTCTATACACGGATTTCAAAAGTTTTTTGAGGTTGAAAAGGGACACTGTTAACAAAGGTAAATTCTTCAAATATTGCAGTGAGGAGTGTGGGTTTTGGGAGTGGTGCAAAGACGGAGAAGCAAGCGGTGAATCGAGCAAGGCTAGCTTTACCTTGGCTAAACCAGTGGTGTGCAACGCAGTTGACGATATGTCGCGCATGTTCCAATCTCAAGTTTGGCTAACTAAAGAAGAACTCTTGGTTTCTGTGAACGTGAAAGTGACAATCGGTCGGGAAAATCACCTGTCGAAGGGAAAATGAAGGGGGGACGGAGCAGGTTTGATTAGTGGTTAATGTTTGCATAGCTTTATGGATTTTCACATATTTATGTACATAATGCTCATATTTTGTATCCTCTTCGATGTTGGACAGCATTGATCTTTGGTGAAACAGTGATACAAAGTTATGCATCTCAATGGGAATTTGCTTCAATATGTGGTTTTCACTCTGGTGAATTAGTAGTGTGATTTTAGTTGAACTGATTGTTTTAAACTAATCTGGGTTTAATCTGTGATTTTCACATTCATATACCTAACTTTTATGTTTGTTTGCCTGCCCTTCCACTATCTTGTAGCGTAACTTCCACTGAACTATTTATAGTTCAGATAGAATATGAACCCAAGGAACTAAAATGCTACTCAAAATAACCTACTAAACATGCCAAAAATAACAAAGTTGAATGCTCTAAAAATGGAGTAAACATAATTACAGCTGCTTTCAAAGAATGCATCTGTGAACATAAATTTGTTCTAAACTCCCTTGTTGTGAATGTAAGATAACGAAGTAAACATACAACAATAAATTAATCAATCATTGCATTTGAGTTCTACTTCGACCGGGTCACGAAAGATGCAGACGTTTTGCTGTAAACTCCTCTATAGACAGATCATAAACGAACAAAATGTTCAAGCGCAGATTCCTTCTAGGTAAACGTATAGCCAGAAAATACTATGCATGCAGGTTGCTTAACTCTTCAATTCTATTTATATGGTGCCACCATGATGCCGTAAATGTGGATAGAAGTAGTTGATCACATAACCTAACATGCAGATTGAAATTAATAAGAGAAGATGAAGTTGTGAAATTTAAATGTAGTTATTTATATATGTATGTACCTTATGAATTGAAAATTACTTTTTTGGTTGCAAGAGGGACCAAAGTGGAAGAAGGTAATTGTTGTGTAAACACATGGCTCACACCACCACTCTACATGAAGTTGTTGGCATTAAAAAATAAATAAAATGCATTCATAACGATAAAATAATGTACTAACCAACATGATTTGCAAATATGAGAATGGCATCAACATGGAATATTCTTGTTGAGGAGTTGGTTGAACCTCTTGTGCACTCTCTTCCACAATAATATACCTTGGTGTTGGTCTCTTTCTTGTTTTCGAAGCCAATCCTATCTGCATGTACGCCTAAGTAAATTAGATTTACTATCATGATTTTGTTTCTCCGATTTTTCTTCGGCGTTCCCATTGTATTCGACTATTTAGGATCCCGTACGCTCCTGCTTCCAGGATGTTGGGATCCAGTACAACGCGAAACGACATTACTACTAGAAACCGACTTTCTGAAACTAATCTCTTTATTTTTGAAATTCTATCCAATCCATTATCTCACAGTGTTGCCCTTCATAATCAGCTGCAAGGTTTCCTATCCTAGCGAATGCGCGACACATGTTATACCTCAATTATCTACGAGTACCAACCAACCCACCATAGTTAACTGTGACCCTTGTGTGTGCTCTGCTAACGTTTCACATCCATCTCCGTAGTATATACCGATCCGACATTACAATCACATCTTATGTATGAAAACTACGATAGCAAGCCTGCAAACTATTCCCCAAAACTCGAACAAGTGACAGCTCCAAATAATTTCACATTTTTCTCTGTCAAATAAGACAATAAGCCCCTGTTTGGTACACCTTAAAAATTTCATTTTCATTATTCTACTCATTTTCAACCACACATTCTTCAATAAAATAATATTTTCCATCATATCAATAATTTTTCCTTCTTGTTCAACCACACATTTTCCATCAATCTACTATTTCGGAATATATTCTTCCAAAATAATGTGGCTCAAACACACCCTAAATATTTTTTCTTCCATCGCTCGGCATATACTACGTCATCGCGTACCTCATACGTCGTCCCCATGGGACCCATTGAAGCAGATTTGTGGTCACAATAAACCTTTGTAAACTAAACTTGAACTTCCCTGAACTTCAAAATGGTTACATTGCCTGAAATTGCATCTCAATTTCTTATTTTGGGGCTCCGGCGGGTGGAACAGGTACCATTTGAGAGAAAGACTTGAAATTCCTTCTCAACCTTATTCTTTAGTGCTCGTTCACACTGTTCGATAAACTACTTCAACGATGTCTTCAAATGCACATAACCATTAAAGAAAGCATTGATAATCTCACTTTGTTTTGTTGTTGACACCTCAGCCCAGAACGTTGTTTTCAAGAAGCACGGAACCAAAGACCTCTATTCTCGTACAATCCCGACAACCAATCGTTATCATGTTCAAATTCTTTGACAACTTGTAAATCATACACCAATACATATATAGCCGAAAATATTGAATACTTATCTACGTGGTAGCTAAACTTTTCTAGCAACTTCTTCAAAATGTGCCACAAATACCATATATGCTTTGTATTTGGAAAAACTGTCTGAATTGCATTTTCCATTGTTTGTCTTGATCAGTAATTATTTCAAGCAGAGCTTTAACAATGCATGCACTGAAGCTATGTCCTGAACAACCACAAAAAGGTATCCGTGTCCTCATTCAATACCAAATCACTACCAAGCAATGTTCATTGTCTGTGATGATAACGCAAATGGCATGTCGTACTTATTTTTAAGGTAAGTGGTATCAAATGTGACAACGTCTCCAAACTCCTTATATGCTTGCATGCACCGATTATCTACCCAAAAAACATTCTTTAGATGTGAATCGTTGTCCAAGTCCATACTAAAGTAAAATCTCGAGCATCGTACTTGTATTTCAGAAAAGTATGATTGTATTGCTACAACATCACCCTCACCAAGTCTTAGTCATCTCACTTGTTCAATATAGTTCCAACAATCCCTTTCCTCGCAAGTCATATTCTCATATCCACCGGCATCAACAATTGCAGAGTGAAACTTTTGTGCAATAGAATTCTTGCCATATCATTCACTACAAGCTTTCGTTTCACATGTGCACTCAATTTTCGATTGCATCGATACAACCTTGACTTTATAGGCCTTGTTTTATGATTGTGGTTAAGGTGGACTGTGTTAATATTCTAGTAACCATGGATATCTAAAGATGTAGATATCTTAGCTTTACAACCCGTCTAAATTGTTGGTTTCGGCTAATTCAAATAATTGCTTGTATTATCTCTTCTTCGACCTTCACAACTACATGTTAACATCACATATCTCAAAACTCCATCATCATCCCTCTTCGAATTCCTCTATCTAACTGGAAAACCTACGGCATAAGCATATTTTGTGTAAAAACCATACACTTATTTTTCATCCTTAAACTGCATTCCCACCTTAGGAGTAGCCGAACCATCTTCTCCTAACGTTTCATCTTCCACTACATTCACATTGTTGTACACATTTTCATTTTCAGATTCTACTAACAAATCATCGTGTACATTTTCTCTTGCAAAACATAAACAATCTACAATATTTCTATGTTCCAAATGGTA